GGAGGACAAGGCCGCAAGGCCGACCTTGGCGGCCGCGTCAAGGCGCGTGCCACCGAGCGCGAGCCTCGAGCGCGAGCACGAGTGGCCCACAGTGGCCCGCAGTGGCCCACACCCACCCTCGCACGCGACAGGTGGCATCCACAAGCTGCCCCTGGGAACGCCATGGCTTTCGTTCACGAACTGCCCCTGGGGGCCCCCGCATCGCATCCAAAAACTTACCCTGGGCGGGGGCTGGATTTCATCCCAAAGCTCGCCCCTGGAGGCCGCAGTAACGTCATCGGAAAACCAAGGAAAAAACGCATCCAAAAGCCCATCACATTCTTGAATTTGGTTTTCCGGCAACGTTCCCGGTGCGTCCGCGGGCATGAACCTTCGCGCACCTCCTCTGGCGGGTCCCCTCGGACCCCTGCCGGCACCCTGTGGCGACAAACGCAGATCCAGAAGACACCACCAGAGCCACTGACAGGCTGCCCAACGGTCGCCCGCAGCGCGCCAAGCCACTGCGGCCCGCCCCAGACTGCCCCTGCCCGCTGGGGCCTTCTGAGCTTCCTTAAGCCTCGGGCCTCTGGGGATTTCCTGGAGCCCCCTGAGGCCCCCTCGGGTTTCATGGCGCCTCCGGGGGCCTTCCGGTGCCTCCTGCGGCTTCCGGGGGGGCCCTGGGGCGTCCTGAAGCCCACTGCGGCCTCATGGCGATGCCTGGCGCCTCCTGGTGCTTCCTGCGGCCCACCGGCCCACCGGGGCCTCCTGGGACCTCCCGCGGCTTCCATGAACCTTCTGGAATTTCCCGGGGACTCCTGGGGCTTCCTGGGGTTTCCTCGTGCTTCGCAGTGTTTACGTGTACTTCCCGGCGCCTCCTGGGGCCTCTCGGGGCCTCCTGGACACCCCTGGCTTTCCTGGCATACATCCTTCATTTCCTCCCCCACGTAAACGTCCACTCATTCATTTTCAGTGTTGTGCTTTGTTGTTGGGGGAAACGGGTTCGGTGCCGAGGCAACATTGGAACAAGACAAAACAACGCACCGAACAAGCTCGGGACAACGCACGAGCCAACCTGGGATATGCGAGCCCACGCGTGCAACCGTGGTTCGGGGGGGAATGGCAGCCACGCGGATTGAACGCCACGGTGGCCCATAAGGCCACAAGCATCAATCGCGCGCAAAGACACCGAGGAGGAATGCTACAATAGACGCGTGACGCCTAGACCGACGGCGAACGTCGCCACGATACTCTCGCCTGCGTTGACCAAGCCATTCCAGAAACGAACGGGTGGAAAAACCGCAGCCAACCAAAACAAGGGCGAGGAAACGGGGACTCGCGGCCGGGGAGGGAAAACAAGTAGAGGTGAGGATGAGTCGACAAGGACACGGAGAACTCAGAGGGCACCAAAGAGATGAGAGACAGGGGAACAACGCTACAACAAACATACGGGTCGAACAAAGGGGGTAACACCGTTTTCAACTCAAGCAAATATGCAGGCCTTGTCCGACCCCGACCTCGCATACATGAAAATTGGTTCCGGCGGACCTCGGACGGTTCGGCCTAGAAACTCCTCTCGCCACGGCACGCCGCCCGGAGCAATGCTGGACGCTAGGTCGAGCCTCACAACTCGGGCGAAACATGCGCCGCGATCCGCCACTGCCGCGCTAAACGCAACATCGGAAGATAACTGATCCAAGAAGTTCCAGCGCGGTAACGCAATGTTGGGGGCGCCCGAGTTCAATGCGACACTTCTGGCACTTTAAACCGTCGCATTGATTACGCAAGGCTTGCACAACAAGTGGGTTTGGGACATTGAGCAAACAGATCCTGAAATCCTTTCAGAAGATCTGAAAAAAAACAATAATTAACGAAATGGTTCACTGTTTGTGGTCAGAGGTGACTCCTCCTCCTCGTCATCATCATCCTGCTTACTGCTTACGGCAAGTTCATATCGTGGCAACGCGTGCGTGGATATTCTTCTGACGCCGCATGGGTAGTTCCATGGTCAGCAACCGCGGCTTTCCGATGGCGCGCATCGTTGGGCCACTGGCGGCGTTCAACCCTGAACGTCTTCGCTGGGGTCGCCGCCGCGTCGGCACGACGCGGACCTGCCGTACCCTGCTTGGCTGCACAGTACAGCCCCAACCGTCGCAGCTTCGCGCGCGCGCCCCTCTTTTCTCCGGGCACGGGAAAATAATAGTCGCTCGGGAAAATAATGGCGGCTCGGGCATCTCACCCGCCGATGCACCCCCGCCCTTGGGGGCAAGAGGATCTGGCGCGCGAGGGCAAAGTAAAAAGAGCAGGACAGAAGGAGGAAGAAAGGAGGACAGAGGAGACCCCTCAGGACCACAAGAACGCCCTAGAACTGCCGAAGACCAAAGACCTAAGATTGCAGAAAACGCAACACCTCTGAACCCCGCGTGGATTGGATTGTTCAACCTTGAACGATCGCGGCTTTCCGACTGTGTTGATCCGCTCCCGCAGCTGTCTTCTCTGGCGTTTCCCTGCAACAGAGGCCCCAATGTCGTTGGGGAAGACGCCTGACGGCGGAGCAAATTCCGAAGCCCCCCTCTGCCTATGTCCCCCTTCCCGGCACGCCCGAAGAGGATACGGAAACAACGGGATTGACGACCAACAACACACGTCGTCAAAAAAACAAAAACCTGGAGCGGCCCATGTTGGGCAGGCGACATCATGTCTCAAGTGGAGATCCGCGGCGACACCGACAGCGATTCCTGGTCGGAATGGGCAAAAACTGCTGTCGGTCATCGTCCCCATTCTTTCCATACCCACTCCGATCGTACCAACTTTCCTCCGACCCGGCAGCAGCATGGCGGAATGCCAACGGCCAGCCATGGCGTCTACATAATTAAACAATGCGCCCCACGCACCGCGCGGCCAATCGGCCATCCGAGCACCGCTTAACCGATCCCTACCCCCACTGCCGTGGCCTTGGGCGCTCTGGCCGACTTACCCACATCGGTGGGGATATCTGACTGTTCCCTCGGATGTCGCGGGGCCTATCCCCACCTAGGAGAGTGGACAGGTGGGGCAGAGAATCCATGGCACAATGGCAGAGGAACGGAAACCCGCATAACCATTAACTTTCGAAGGTCCGCGCGGATTGCTTGGATCGGCGCCTGAAGCGCCGCCAGGGGTGCTCAGCGACGATCCAAGGAATCCACGCGGACCTCCGAGAAATGATGCTTGATCCGTCCTTGGCTCTTCGGGATAGGTTAGATGACGCCGGCCATCGGGAGAGGGCAAGCGTCCACCACCACCACCCAGCCTCCACGAGCCAAGCTCCGGGTCCAGATTTCGAGGGACACTGGCTGAACGGTCAGGCCAGGAGGCAACGTCAGAAGAAGAACAAGCTGCATCGGCATAAGCTGTCGGAGCTCCGCACGGAGCTGCTAAAGTTCATGTTAAGGTCTTTGTTTCTCAGGCACGTCCATCAAGGTCTGGGTCAAATCTGGAACCAAGTAAGACGCAAGAAGAATGAAGACGAGGATAAACTCGGACGACAATGAGTCGGGCATATCTTCAGGTCCCGCGGCCGCTTCAGACCACTGCCCAGCGCTCTGAGAGCGCTCCAGAACGCTGCAAAAAGATTTTAAAGATAGACCTGCATAAACATACACTTTCGGGGTTCCGCTCGGATTTCTTGAATCGGCGCAAGGTCCCCCTGGCGGCGTATCCAGCGCCGCCCCTAGCGCGCTTCGCGCGCCAGGGAGAGGGGTCCAGCGCCGATCCAGAAAATCTGCGCAGAGCTCCGAGGGTTTACCTCTATGGCTTTCTTGTCGACTGATCCTTGGCCTGCTGGACCAGGTGCAGGCACTGGCGGTGCTTGACAATCTCCCTATCCCTGGAGCCTAATGTGGCTGCGCTGCAGGCCGTGGGTACTCAAGGTGACGGCGTTTGCCGTCCAGGGAGTTCCTATAGCATTGAAACAAGTTGCTGCATAAAATTCCTCCTCCTCCTCATCATCCCCATCATCATCACCACCACCACCATCATCATCATCAGCATCGTCATCAGCATCATCATCATCATCAGCATCATCATCCTCATCATCATCATCATCATCAGCAGCATCATCATCATCATCATCATCATCAGCATCATCATCATCATCATCCGAATCGACATCATCATCATCCTCATCATTAGCATGATCCTCATCATCAACAACAACAATCACATTAGCATCAGCATCACCGTCATCATCGTCGGCATCATCATCAACATTAGCATCAGCATCAGCATCAGCATCATCGTCATCAGCATCATCATCGTCACCATCATCACCATCATCATGATCACAATCAGGAGCATCGTCATTATAGTCATCATCATCATCATCATCATCATCATCATCAGCATCATCATCATCAGCAGCATCATCATCATCATCATCATCATCATCGTAACCATCGTTTTCGTCGTCGTCGCCAGCATCAACATCCACCATCACTATTAGGATCATCAACATCATCAGCATCATCGCCATCGTCATCGTCATCAGCATCGTCGTTGTCAGCATCGTAATCGCCATCACAAACAACATCATCATCATCAACAGCAGCACAAGCAGCATCCGCATCATCATAAACAACAGCATCATCACCAGTATCATCATCACCACCAGCATCATCATCATCATTATCAGCATCAGCATACTTAGCCTAATCATCAGCATCATCAGCAGCAAAATCATAATCATCAGCATCATCGCCATCATCAGCACCATCATCAACATCATCAGCAACATCAACATCATGTTCATCAACAGCAGCATCATAATCACCACCAGCTTCATCAGCATCAGCATAGCATCAGCATCAACATCATCATCCTCATCATCAGCATCAACATCATCATCAACCTCCTCGGTATCATCACCATCCGCGCCCCCCCATCCGAGTCCTGCGTCTCATCACCATCTTTGTCATCGTCGTCGCCGTTGTCATGGTGGTCCTCCTCCTCGTCCTCCGTAAATCGCCACACCCTGGGCATCACGCCTACTCGTCGGACTCGTCGTCGAGGTCGAGGTCGATGTCCTGGCCCGGGAGAGGCGGCAAGAGGGGGGCGAGGACGCGGCCAGGTCGAACCACTGGTCGAGAACAAAGCACTGTGAAAGCCCCCGAACAGGACCCCAATTATCGACCTTCGCATTGTCATCGGCGGGCGAAAACCAATGTGAATGAGTTGTTCCGCCATGAGGAATCGGGAACTCTTGTCCCAGGGCGGCTGCAAAGTTTATACTCCTATTGTGACACTTCGAGGCATCATCTGTCAAGCCGCCCTGGGACGCGTTGTGCTGTACCTCTCTTCGACCGCTCTTCGAAGCCGCCCTGGGCAAGCTCGCACAGCGAACTCTACACCCGTCGCGCGACCGACCTGTGGACGGGCGCTGGCCCGCCGGCCCGAGCCGCGCGGAGCGCCATCATCCCTTCGTGCTGCGAGCGCCAGAAGAATTTCGGAAAGAGGGGCGAGCGGAGTTCGCGGCGAGGTTTATGAGCGCCTTGCACCTTGTTGGGGGCCTCTTGGAGGCTTCTCGTCGCCACGGCTGAATTATCCTTCAAACTTCTGCCAGGAACGAACCCAAGGATGGGTCCAGGGGCCGAGCTTTGAAAGGGCTTTGAAAGGCCGAGCAATGGAAGATGCCTTCGAGCGTGTTCTTTATTCTCAGCGATCACGGGCGTCATGGGGGGAGGGGAATGCGGGGGGGCTATGACCTATGACGTAACGCCCCGGCCCCCCGGGCCCCCGCCGTGCGGCTCCGGCACCACAGCCGCGCCCGCGCGCTCGACGACGATGAGCGACGAGCGACGAGCGGCGAGCGACGAGCGACGACGACGACGACGATGACGACGACGCGAGCAGCATGTAGGTGGCGATCTGCCCCACACCGCCTGTGTACACCACACTGCTCGCGCGCACCACAGCGCGCGTGCACGCCACAGCGCCTGCGTAAAGCGCAACAGCCGTGTGCAACGCAGCGCCTGTGTACACCACAGTGCATGCGTGCACCACATCGCCGGTGTACACCACAGCGAATGTGCACACCGCAGCAACCATGTGCAACACGGCGCCAGTGTACACCACAATGCTTGCGTGCACCGCAGCGCCTGTGCACACCACCGCGCCTGTCTACTCTACACCACAGCATCCGTGCGCAACGCAGCGCCGGTGTACACCACAGCGCCTGCGTGCACAGGACAGGTAGGAGGAGCATGTACGTGAGGACCTGCTGCGGCCAGCTACGCGCCACGCCAGGGACGTGCTGATAACAGAATGCGGCGTCCTTCCCCCCTCCTCCTCCTCCTCCTCCTCCTCCTCCTCCTCCTCCTCCTCCTCCTCCTCCTCCTCCTCCTCCTCCTCCTCCTCCTCTTCCTCCTCCTCCTCCTCCTCCTCCTCCTCCCCCCCCTCCTCCTCCCCCCCTCACCCTTTCCCCCTGTCGCGCGGGTCGGCACTACAGCGCACGTGCGAATCTCAGCGTGCACCGCAGAATGGTCGATGTAATCAATCCACTTGGTTATGGGATAGCCGATTTTGCTGGGCCTCCTGGGCGCAGATGGAAGGAATTAGGATGATGGGGACGGACTCTGGAGAACTCGTAAATTCCAGCGGCGTTCTTTTTCCCATACGGACTAATTTCCAAATCCTGTATGACAAGAGTGCCTAGGTAGGGAAAAATGCGCTGTGCAATCCACAGGCGCTCCGTGCTGTCATACAGAATCCTTCCGAAATTGTATACGCAAAAATGTTGTTGTGTTGCACGCGGTTGTGGTGGTGCACGCATGCGCCGTGAGGTGTACACTGGTGCTGTGCTGTACACGGCTGATATTATGTACGCAGGCGCTGTGGTGTACACAAGCTTTGTGGTACCCGCAGGCACTGTAGCTCACACTGGCGCTGTGTTGCACGCTGCTGCGGTGGTGTACATGGGCGGTGTGGTGTACACAGGCGCTGTGGTGAACGCAGGTCAGAGTGAGGGGGCCGAAAGGTCATTCACTGTCCCTGGGTGCGTGGCTGAAGTGGAACTCTGCGGTGCGGATTCTCGTTGTTGTTGTTGTTGTTTGTTGTTAAACATTATTACTTCTAAAGAATAATTATTGTTGGGGCCCCTGGTGCACGCCCCCCTCGCCGCGCCTAGGCCGCAGCCACATTTTCATCATTTTCGAGCGAAAACCCTTGACAAAACGATGTGATCCAGATCCGGTTGTTTTGTTCCCCCCCACTTTCCCTTGCAAAAAACAATATAAAATGACATTTCTTGTTCTAACGTAACCACATTTCAAGAATCCCTTGCAAACAATAAGGTAAAGTAGACATTCGCGCGCGCAAGACGAAATCCTTCCAAAACCTTAGTTTTCGTAGCGATTTTAACATAAAAACATAAAAAACAATGGTTTTTTGTTTATAAAAAAATTGTCCAAATTTCATCCCGCGCGCTCTTGCGGATTCGTAGGAAACCCAACACTTTTTAAACATTTCTGTCAAACGGGCTTCTGCGAGGAGCAACTTTTTCGAATCTCTGCAACAACGGTTGCGCACCTGCCAGGGCCATCATCCCTGTCAAATAATACCATGCGGGACACATTCGTTTTTTCTTCGCGCGCGCACGCCGTCGTCGTCGGCCGCGGGGCCCTGAATAGTAGCCACGGTCGTCCGCATGCCACGAAGTGAAGTGTCCGAACGTCATAGGGCGGGAAGCTGGGTGTGGGTGGTGGCGAAGAGTCGTTTGGAAATTTGGTAGAGCTTGAACCGGCCCCCCCACAAAGTGGGGGTATTGCCCGCCTCCTATGAAAACCCTGGCACTGGTGAGAACGGAGTGTCCCCACGTGCTAGTAATTGTTGTTGTTGTTGAACATTATTTATTCTAAAGAATAATTATTGTTGGGCCCCCTGGTGCGCGCCCCCCCTGCGCCGCCTAGGCCGCAGCTACATTTTCATCATTTTCGTGAGGAAGCCTCAGGTAATTCGATGTGATCAAGATCCGGTTGTTTTGTTCCCCCCCGCTTTCCCTTGCAAAAAACACTATAAAATGACATTTCTTGTTCTAATATAATCAAATTTCAAGAATCCCTTGCAAAAAATAAGGTAAAGTGGACATTCGCGCGCGCAAGACGAAATCCTTCCAAAAGCTTAGTGTTCGGAGCGATTTTAACATAAAAACATCAAAAAACCAATGGTTTTTCAACAAAAAATTGTCAAAATCTCATCCCGCGCGCTCTTGCGGATTCGTAGGAAACCCAACACTTTTTAAACATTTCTGTCAAACGGGCTTTTGCGAGCAACTTTTTCGAACTTCTGCGACAACGGTTGCGCACCTGCCAGGGCCATCATCCCTGTCAAATAATACCATGCGGGACACATTCGTTTTTTCTTCGCGCGCGCACGCCGAAATCTCCAAAAACCATTGGGCTTCTTAAGAATTTTAGCACCGCGCATCATAAAATCACACGAATCGCACCGTAGGTCCTCGAAAAACACCTGCACGACTTTTCAAAATTTCTACCCGCGCGCGCTGTCCTAACAACTTCTGTGGGTGTGTACTCCACGCCAGTGTAGTAGCCACGGTCGTCCGCAGGCCACGAAGTGAAGTGTCCGAACGTCATAGGGCGGGAAGCTGGGTGTGGGTGGTGGCGAAGAGTCGTGTGGATATTTGGTAGAGCTTGCACTGCCCCCCCACAAAGTGGGGGTATTGGCTGGCGTCGCATGAAAACCCTGGCACTGGTGAGAACACTGAGCGTTCGGGTAAAGTGATTGTTGTTGTTGTTGTTGTTGTTGTTGTTGTTGTTGTTGTTGTTGTTGTTGTCGTCGTCCCACCCGCGACCCACCCGCGACCCACCCCGCGACCCACCCCGCGACCCACCCCGCGACCCACCCGCGACCCACCCGCGACCCACCCGCGACCCACCCCGCGACCCACCCCGCGACCCACCCCGCGACCCACCCCGCGACCCACCCCGCGACCCACCCCGCGACCCACCCACCCGCGACCCACCCGCGACCCACCCGCGACCCACCCGCGACCCACCCGCGACCCACCCCGCGACCCGCCCGTGACCCACCCGCGACCCAAACCACGTTCAAGGTACAAACCACCATTTTCGGCGCCTGCGGCGGGTTCTTTTTGCATTCCTTCCAGATGGAGAGCCCGCGACCCACCCCGTGACCAACTCGCGACCAACCCGCGACCCAAACTACGTTCAGGGTACAAACCACATTTTTCGGCGCCTGCGGCGGGCATCTTTTGCATTCGTTTCAGGTGGAGAGCCCGCTGCCCACCCGCGACCACCTGCAAGGTACAAACCATACGTTCGGCGCCTGCGGCGGGCAACTGTTGCGTTCGCTTCCGGTGGAGAACCCGCGGCCCACCCGCGACCCAAACCAAATCATTTTTTGGGGCGCCTGCGGCGGGCTGCTTTTGCATTCCTTCCAGGTGGAGGTGGAAAGCCCGCGACCCACCCGCGACTCAAACCACGTTCGCTGAACAAACCAATGCCGCACAAGCGCGGCGGCGGATTTTTGCACGCCGTCTGAACCCGCAATGACCTCTTCAAACCCCGCGCATCCACGCCAGCCCGCCCAGCAACTCTGCCCTGGCGGGCTGCCTTGATCAGAGAAGGCGGGGAGCACAAAGTGGACAAAAAATGCGTCGCAGTTATCTTGGGAAAGGAGGGGGGGGGGGGGGGCAGGGAGAGTAAACAGGGGACGAGGAGAACGCGGAAGAAGAGAGGATGCAAGGAGAACGTGGAGAACGGAAAGGAGGAGGAGCAGGAGGACGAGAAGGGGGAGGAGGAGGGGGAGGAGGAGGACGAGGAGGGGGAGGAGGAGGAGGAGGAGGAGGAGGAGGATGGACGACAATGGGAGGACGATGGTGGAGGCCGATTAGGGGGGGACGACAATGGGAGGACGATGATGAAAGGACGAGGGGGGGGGGGGGAGGGAGGACGAGGAAGAAGAGGGGGAGGAGGAGGACGAGGTGGAGGAGGAGGGTGACGATGACGATGACGATGAGGACGAGGACGAGGAGGAGGAGGAGGAGAAG